CAAAATATCTTTAATCTATAGAATTATAATATTCGATAAAAATGGAATAAAAAATAGTCATTATGATAACGTCTTTTCGTCCAAAATATTCCAGTATATCAAATTCCGTAAGTAGGTCTTTGAAATATGAACATCGTTTATTTTTTACATTACTAATAGTAAAGACTAAAGCTTGCTTAGTAATGCTAGTGTTATCAAATTGAACAAGTCTATTCCCCTGGCGTGCAATATTGGCCTTATATCTCCACTGGCGTACAATATTGGCCTTATATCTCCACTGGCGTACAATATTGGCCTATTATTTCCACTGACGTACAATATTGACCTTATATCTCCACTGAGTGACCGATAACCAATCCACTGGCGTACAATATTGGCCTTATATCTCCACTGACGTGCAATATTGGCCTTATATTTCCACTGAATGACCGATAACCAAACCACTGGCGTACACTATTGGCCTTATATCTCCACTGACGTGCAGTATTGGCCTTATATCTCCACTGAGTGACCGATAACCAAACCACTGGCGTACAATATTGGGCTTTTATCTCCACTGAGTGACCGATAACCAAACCACTGCAGTACAATATTGGCCTTATATCTCCACTGACGTACAATATCCTTTATCATTAATTAATTCACTCGAAAATACCTCCCTCTTTTTAAAGATCACTCTGTACCTATCATTTCTTATACCTATACCAAATCAATTGCAACTTAATTTTTCAATTACAAACACGTGTTGCAGGATCTAAATATTAACTTCAAGTCTAAACCCCCTAATTGCACCTGTGCTAGTTCCCCATTAATATATAATCCGGCTGGCCACGTTATTATTGGTGACCTAAACATTGTCAATAACACTTCTCTGCGAAATGTGTTATCCAAAGGCCCGAAATATCGTGAGCCTAAATCCATCAATTGAAAACACTTCAAAATATACTGATGGATTCAGTCGAGGATTATGGCAGGCAATGGGTTAAACGCGAGAAAGAAGACGTAGATACTCTTTCCAAATGGATTTAGGCTGTGAAGTCGTTAATACAAATCAGAATTAAGAAACTGAATGGGTCTATAAATAACAATGCTACATCAATCTTTAAAGACCCAAATGTTGCTAAACACTTGTCCTACCTCCATGACAAATATGTTGTTGTCCCTGCAGATAAAGCCCCAAACAGCATCGTTTGTGTGTGTAAATCACATTACATAAATTGCTTGATAAATGCATTAGGGATTGACAATTCACCTGGAAACTCAACATATACCCCCACGACACTTACTAAAGAGGAAATCCTTGATAATCATAGGTCTGTTCTATGTTACTTTGGATTTTCAACCAAAGATAAAGAACTGGATCTTCCATCACTGTATTGGATACCTAAACTACATAAGTGTCCTTACAAACAACGGTATATTTCAGGGTCTTCCAAGTGCTCCACAAAACCTCTTTCTAAATTATTAACATCAATTTTATCAGCAATCAAAGCCGGGCTTCAAAGTTATTGTGAAACTACCTATTCTAGCGGTGGCCTGAATCAGATGTGGATACTAAAAAATTCCAAAGATCTTTTAGAGTACATACAATCTAAGACTCTTTCATCTTGCAATAGTATTAAAACATTTGACTTTTCTACACTTTACACAAGTATTCCCCATTCCAAACTAAAAGACTAATTGAAAGAGTTGGTCCTGCTTTGTTTCATAAAAAAGAATGGCCAACGTAGATACAAGTATCAGGTCTTAAGGAAGGATAAATCCTACTTTGTAAAAATTCACTCTGATTCTAACAAAAAATTATCTGCAACTGACATTATCAAGATGCTTGATTTCTTGATTGACAAAATATTTGTTACGTTTGGAGGAAGTGTTTTTCAACAAACAATCGGCATTCCCATTGGAAGCAACTGTGCCCTCTTCTTGCCGACTTGTTCCTTTATTTATATGAGGCTGACTTCACACAGGAACTTCTTAGGAAGAAAACAAAGAAGTTAGCAGTATCCTTTAACTTTACTTTCCGCTACATAGATAATGTTCTCTCACTAAATAATTCAAAATTTGGTGACTTTGTTAAACGCATCTATCCCATCGAATTGAGATTAAGAATGCAACATATACAGTTAAGTCTGCCTCATATCTTGACTTACATCTAGAAATTGACAATGAGGGTCGGTTGAAAACAAAACTTTATGACAAAAGAGATGATTTCAGATTCCCAATTGTGACCTTTCCATTTTTATGTAGCAACATTCCAGCAACGCCTACATACGGAGTATATATCTCCAAGTTGATACTATACTCCAGGGCTTGTATTTCCTATCATGATTTCCTTAATAGAGGGTTGCTGCTCACAAGAAAGCTATTAAACCAAGAGTTCCAAGTGGTGAAGTTGAAATCATCGCTTCGTAAATTTTACGGACGCAATCACGAGTTGGTTGACCGTTACTGAATATCCGTTTCACAGATGATAACGGATATGCTCCTAATGTCGTAACTACAATCCCCGAATGTGACCTACCGAATTAGACTTATCACAGAGTTTGTACTAACATGAGCAACACGACGGGTGCCACATATGGAGCAGGATCTGCTTACCCTTCCACAGCTTCTGAGATCACCCCCAGTTTTTGATTGGGTTCGTGTTGCTTAGTCTTCAGTTTTCTATGTTGTGTTTTGTGAACTATTGTTTGTCTGTTGGTCTTTTTGTTTAGCCATGGCGTTGTCATTTGTTTTCGACTTATGAGTTTGAATGTCTCTTTGGTATCTTTCGCCCCTCTTGACCTTATATCTCCATTGACGTGCAATATTGGCCTTTAATCTCCACTGACGTACAATATTAGCCTTATATCTCCACTGACGTCAATATTGGCCTCATATCTCTACTGGCGTACATCATTGGCCTTATATCTCCACTGACATACAATATTGGCATTATATCTCCACTGGCGTACATATTCGCTCTCACCCCATATGGAATTTACTGACCCCATATATATCGTATTAAGTCACTAGCACATTATGTAAGTAATAATATCTCATCAGAGTTACCGATAAATAATCCACTGGCGTAGAATATTGGCCTTAAATCCCTACTGACGTGCAATATTGGCCTTATATCTCCACTGAATGACCGATAACCAAACCACTGGCGTACAATATTGGCCTTATATCTCCACTAACGTACACTATTGGACTTATATCTCCACTGACGTGCAATATTGGCCTTATATCTCCACTGAGTGACCGATAACCAAACGACTGGCGTACAATATTGGCCTTATATCTCCACTGACGTACAATATTGGCTTTATATCTCCACTGACGTGCAATATTGGCCTTATATCTCCACTGACGTACAATATTGGCCTTATATCTCCACAAACATAGAATATTGGCATAATATCTCCACTGACGTACAGTATTGGCCTTATGTCTCAACTGGCGTACAATATTGGCCTTATATCTTCACTGACATACAATATTGGCCTTATATCTCCACTGACGTACAGTATTGGCCTTATATCTCTACTGGCGTACACTATTGGCCTTATATCTCCACTAGCGAACACTATTGACCTATTATCTCCACTTGCATACAATATTGGCCTAATATCTCTACTGACTTACAAAATTAGCTTTATATCTCACCTGACGTGCAATATTGGCCTTATATCTCCACTGACGTACAATGTTGGCCTTATATCTCCACTGAGTGACTTCCTCCAGAAAGACTTAACTTCATTGGAAGACTGGGAAAAACAAATGGCGAATGAGTTTCAACGCCAAAAAAAATACTTTGTTATAAGAATAACAGAAAAAAATCATCGACAAGTGATACAATCCACAATCAAACTCCACGGTCAGACTCCTGACACTTTTAAAGCCAGAAAATACCTAGGAGTAACAATCAATAAAAACCTAACCTTGGATAAACACATCGACAATACAGTTAGCAAAGGAAATAACACATTAGGATTTATCCGCTGAAATCCTAAAGGTTGCACAAAACCTGTAAAGGCAATTGCAGCTGTATCCATGGTTAGACGGGCAGTAAAATATGCATACACAGTATCGGACCCAACAAACCAAAATGAGACCAAGACAAAAGAGAAAGTACAGAGAAGAGCAGCAAGATTTGTGGACACAGACCGAACACCTGGCTGTGTCACGAATATGGTTAAAACTTTGAAATGTGAAAGTCTTGAAGAATGGAGAAAAACAAACAGATTATGCATTCTATTCAAGACCGCCAACAATATCTGAACCTAAATGATAATCGGACCAGAGACAAAAACCGCTTCTACCAAGAAAGAACCAGTACAGATGCCAACGGCCAATCTTTCTTTCCAAGGACCATCAGGGATTGGAATAAAATGTAAAATATTGCGAACGTTTTTAAATGTGAGTAGCCAAGAACATATTCTGTGTTGCTCGACATTGTGCATAGTTTTCGCACGTAAAAAAAGATTATATACCTTTTACATGAGTGGTTGAAAAATATTTATTAATTTGGATAACATGATTGATCAAAACATTGGCTGAGGTTCGGCGATAGTAAAGACGATCGTGATTTAGGACTGGAAATCAACATGTCGGTTATTTTTACTGTCCAAAACAATAACAAAATGATCAGACACAAGTATTTTTTATAAGTTAGAAAGTGTTCATTCCGTTAATAGAAATGTATTTCTAATAGCATACCTCATACTATTTGTGTCTACCTTTGTAGTACAGATGTAAATCGGTCTTCTATAATTGGTGTGATACATAAATGTACGCACTTGATATCGCTACAAATATCTATATACTGTTGTGCTACATTTAAGAAGAGAAGAAGTTTATATATATATTTGAGTCTAAAATTTGTGCAACAATAGGGATAAACGAAAATATATGATAGCTGGGACTTTTATTCTAATATATTATGTCCCAGATGATAGATAATGGAACTTTTAATTGACTGACAAAGCAATCACGTGACTGAACGCTTGGACGAATTCGAAACAGCCGGCATGTTGGAAATTTACAGATAAAATAATTTTACATTAATATTATCCAACGTAAATAGCATACTTTATTACTGGAAAAACATTGTACAATGAAGTTCCTAATTTTGATTGTTGTGTTAGTTGCGATTCTATTTCAGTGTATGGCGAATAGCAAAGGTAATTTTATAATAATAATAATAGTAATAATAATATTAATAATAATAATAATAATAATAATGTTAATATTCTTTATTTAAAGAGGGTAGCCCAATTAGTTTTCACTAATCTTACTTAGGGCCCGCATAAAGTATAAGTACAAAATAATGTAGTTCATACAAATTAACAATAAACACAAACAAAGCAGTATATATGTTGTGTACAAATTGTAATGTTGTACAAATTATAATTTGTACATTATTTTTTGTACAAGTTATCAGTATTTTGTGAATATTTTCTTTACATAATTAGATAAAATAAGCACAGTGTCTTTGGTTAAGCGTATCACTGTTTCATTTCCACAACTACATGCTACAGTCTTGCACATAGTACTGACACAAAGTTTATATAAAAACACTAAAATATATTTTGTGGACATAGAATTTAGTATTAGTCAAAAAATAAAAATATAATCTATACAAATCAGGTGTCCTTATTTGTAGTTTTATGACATAGAGGACATTGCTTAATATTAGGTTGAAGTATATAAATTTGTGAGTAAAACAACGAACTGGATAATTATTGAAGATAGACTTGTATCACCTGGTGAAAGAAGGTGTGTGTCACAATACTGATAACTTGTAAAAAAGCCCTGTACAAATTATAATTTGTACGAAATTACAACTTGTACACAACATATACATATGATAATATCATTCATAGTGTTCGTGTTAATTAATCATCTATTATCTCTGTCGCTTGACAAAGATATTTGAAGCAAACATAAAGATGTTATTATGTTCATTTGTAAGCTATTCCATAGAATTGCAGAATTGTATGGAAAACATTTTTTTTTATAAATTCGTGTTTGGCCGAATAACTACCAAATTGTTTTTTTTTGAGACGAATGGTAAATCATTTATAAACAAAATAAGTAATAAAGAACCCTTGAGGCATTCCAGATTTTACAATATAGTAGCTAATTAGCTAATTTCAGGTAAACATAATTTTGTGGCGCAAAAAATATGATTAACTGACATGTTATTTTTATTATTAATGTCAACTGATACTTATTTACATATACACGAATTTGTGGTATATTAAAAATGATTTGTAAAAATGCATGACGCTTGAATCAATATTGTGATTTTCATTCTTGTTGGCCTTTGTGATTTTTTTAACCCATTAATAAAAGGAGTTGTTAGGTGTACATCATTGAGACCTCAACCAACAAATAACGACATAAATACTCAAAATATGTAACAGAAAACACAAATACACAAAGATCCCCCCACCAACATTTTGATAAGACTAACGACGTCAGTCGAGAGGTTTCTTGATTTTGGACATATGAAAGTATGACTGGCTTAAAATACTAATTTAACATTATCCCTCCCCAATAGCAAGCTCTGGGTCCCGATTCTGTTGTTATGAAATATCCTGTCCAATACTAATGGCTCAGTCTCGATATATATATATGAGACGAAAAGCTACATAATGCTAGCTTAGTAGTTTTTTTTTATTCCCTAGAACTGAATGATAGTTATTTTTTGTCGAGCCTGCGACATAGGGATAGTGATCCGGCGGCGGCGGCGGTGGCGGCGGCGGCGGCGTTAGCTAACTTCTTAAAAGCTTTATATTTTAGAAGGTGGAAGACCTGGATGCTTCATACTTTGTATATAGATGCCTTATGTTACGAAGTTTCCGTCTGTCACATGTCCATTGTCCTTGACCTCATTTTCATGGTTCAGTGACTACTTGAAAAAAAAGTTAAGATTTTTTGTAATGTTAATTTCTCTCTTATAATGAGTAATAGGATAACTATATTTGGTATGTGCGTACCTTGCAAGGTCATCATGCCTGTCAGACAGTTTTTACTTGACCCCGACCTCATTTCATAGATCAGTGAACAAGGTGAAGTTTTGGTGGTCAAGTCCATATCTCAGATACTAAAAGCAATAGGTCTAGCATATTCGGTGTATGGAAGGACTGTAAGGTGTACATGTTCAACTGGCAGGTGTCATCTGACCTTGACCTCATTTTCATGGTTCAGTGGTTATAATTAAGTTTTTGTGTTTTGGTTTGTTTTTCTTATACTGTATGCAATAGGTCTACTATATTTGGTGTATGGAATGATTATAAGGTGTACATGTCTAGCTGGCAGGTGTCTTCTGACCTTGACCTCATTTTCATGGTTCAGTGGTCAATGTTAATTTTTCGAGTTTTGGTCTTTTTTTCTAACACTATATGCAATAGGTCAACTATATTTGGTGCATGGAAATATTTTATGATGTACATGTCAGTCTGGCCGGTTTTATTTGACCTTGACCTCATTTTCACGGTTCATAGTTCAGTGTTAAGTTTTTGTGTTTTGGTCTGTTTTTCTATTACTATAAGCAATAGGTCAACTATATTTGTTGTATGGAAGGATTGCAAGCTGTACATGTCAGCCTGGCATGGTTCATCTGACCTTGACCTCATTTTCATGGTTCATTAGCCAATGTTTAGTTTTCTTGGTTAAGTCTGTATCTTAGAAACTATAAGCAATAGGTCAACTATATTTAGTGTATTGAATGATTGTAAGTTGTACATGCATTTCCTGTTTGGTTTATTTGACCTTGATCTCATTTTCTTGGATCGTGTTAAGTTTATGTGAAAGTTGTAGTAAAGCTTTATATTTAGAACTATCAACATAATATCAATGATTAGTAAAGAAGGCGAGACATTTCAGCGTGTGCACTCTTGTTGTAATGCATATCCATATTTACACATCACTCTCAAGTCTCATGTATAAATATAGATGTACAAATATTTGCCTTTAAATCATAGATTTAATATGGAAAAGAAGAATTATCTCAATAAATCAGTCAATTACCAGTGATGTATATATCTGTAAGCCCTTTTCCTTTATAAAATATTATCAATATTTGATAATTTCTTTTATTTGCTTTATTGGTCGAGCATAAACTCATAGAGGCTATGTCAATCCTATATTGTATCTAAGCCATTCAACTGCTTCAATGACAGATGGAATTTTAAATCGAACTCTGCTTAAGCAAAATTAATATAGGATGCGCCCATGATATTTTCATAAGAGTTAGTTTTATAGGCATTTACACTGTTGAGGCCCTGTGAATGTGTAAGATAACATAATGTGCAGTTAGGACAGTGCGTGTTAAAAAAATATTATCAAAAAAAACAAAAAAAAAACATTTTAAACGATGTTCAATAATATTCTCGATCGCAACGATCAAATGATGATGCATGTGCACTGTTGCAAGTTTATTGTTTCTTATACTTGACTCTTGTGACCACTACATATGAATTATATATAATATATATAACTTTGAGTAACAAACCATATAGACTAAACTCTCGTGTCATATCTATGAACAAAAAAGCTTCCAGGAACTATACATGCAGCAGCAACTATTTTCATGTAGGTTAGACTGTGTGCAATTATTTAGTTTACAAAATAAGAAGTAAGCAGAGTAATACTGTTCTAAAAACTTTAAGAATATATTTCCATACAACAATAAAAATGGAATCAGCAGAATTTGAAGAGATCAAAAAGCCTCAGAATTAGAGATGATAAAACAGTTGATGATTTTTAAAAGTAACTAGAGAAAGTTGAACATAACCTAACGGGTATTCTCAATGAATTAAAAACTGACGTTAATGTATCAAAAGCAAAATATGATGCATCTCAAATAGAAATCACTAATCTTAGACGAGATATACTGAGCTGGAACAGTGTGTTATAGGTAAGGAATTGCAAATACAGGCAATTAAAGGTGAAAAACTACAAAAACAAAAATTCAAATTCAAACCTAGATGAATGAAATTAATGAATAAGGTAACGTTGTTTGAAAAGCATGAAAGGAAATACAAAGTTTTGATTTATAGTGTTGATGACAGTAATGTAGATGAGAACATCTATTCAGTTACTCGTCAGTTGTTTAGCCAAAATCTAAGTATTGATCAAAGAAAAGCAAACGCCATTCCGATTGCCAATGCTCATTGAGTTCCAACAAGGAGCAGTGGACCCAAAGCGATTATTGTTACATTTTTACACTATGGAGAAAGACAACTAATAATATCTAGTGTCCGCAATCTGAAAGGTACTGCACAATCTGAAAAGTACATTCTCTATGTATGTGCCTGTCCCAAGTCAGGAGCCTGTAATTCAGTGGTTGTCGTTTGTTTATGTGTTACATATTTGTTTTTCGTTCATTTTTTGTACATAAATTAGGCCGTTAGATTTCTCGTTTGAATTGTTTTACATTGTCATTTCGGGGCCTTTTATAGCTGACTGTGCGGTATGGGCTTTGCTCATTGTTGAAGGCCGTACGGTGACCTATAGTTGTTAATTTCTGTGTCATTTGGTCTCTTGTGGAGAGTTGTTTCATTGGCAATCATACCACATCTTTTTTTTTTATATTAAATCCGTATTCTAGACGATCGGATTCCTTCTATCTCATGAAGCCTTCAAAATACGCGAAAAAAAAAAAAAAAAATGCAAACACTTATTCGAGATGTTGGGGTACATATGACTCTTGAAACTTGTAAAAATAATGCGGACACTTTTAGCTTACGAGAATAATGAACGACAAATAACAATGTACAACAATGTACATAACAATGAGCCATTTATATATATATATATAGGTTAAACTGACCTATTTCTAAAAAAATATAGAACCATATGTGCGGTTGTAGATATCTAGTATATTAGATAATTCTTTAATAATCAAGTTATGAGCTTACTTTAAGAGAAAATTCAATCTAGTTTTGTATACAAAACTGTTTTTTTTATCATTTTTCTTCCTTCTCTTCTGTCTAAATATAAACCTTTTCTTTATCGTACTTTCACAGATATAGCTATAAAACTGAAACCAAATTGTAAGTATTGAAGGGAGAAATCCAAGGAAATTAATTCCAGGTTTATTTTCTGTTTATGCAAATATTTTGTTTTTTTTGTATTTACTATTTCAGTTTAGCTCTCTCTTCTTTTTTGCTTTTTTGCCTGCAATATAGTGGCATCCACATATAAACGTATATGCTTATTTTGCTCTATATTATCCAGCCTGTTGTGTTGATGTTTTGCTGATATGCTAGTCAAATGCGTTTTGTTAAAATATACTTTTTCACTTTTTTGGTCTTTGGAAAATGTTGTTTGTGCTGTATTTAGACCCCTCTATCAAGAAATATGTTTTGCATGCACACGTATAAAAATTGCGGTTTTTATCCAACGCAATCATAGGTTTGAACGTTGTTTTCAATTTAGACTTGTTTATATATATATATATATATATATATATATATAAGTACGTCTGAACCAGTGACGACTCTACAACAGATTTTATCCATCGGATCACCAGCAGTGATGGTGATACAAGGCTGAAAATACACTCTGTATATACAATTCGTCTAAACAACAGCCCAAAAATGTTAGATCTGTAAATTTGCGGAAGCAAATGTTTTGTTCTTCCCTGGCCGGGATTCGAACTCGTGCTACTGAGATATCGTGTATGGTGATACAAGGCTGAAAATACATTCTGTATATATAATTATGCATAATTTCTGCTAAAACTAACTCACTAATCTGGTGTGCATACATAGGCTCAGGATGTGCAGTTTGTGTTTGATTGGTAGATTAGTTTTTATGATATGTTGACCATGTACAACTTTGTTTTACCTGTTTGATGCCAAAAATATTGGTATTTGTTAAGAGTGATACTACATTTGAAGTCAGGCAGCGTTAAGCATTTGTCAGTACCTAATTTTGATATTGTCCCTCAAGTTAGTATTTTTGCAAATAGTCTTTCAGGTATAACTAGTATATTTAACTACCTTACGTCATATAAAGAATATTGATCTTTGACCGTAGCGATCGATAGTGAGTCGGAATATAACGACTGGATTAGTCAGGTTAAGGCTCGACAAAAACTGCAATGTTAAATTAAAAAAAAAATATCTCATCCTTTGTAGATATAATAAGACTGAGAGGTTTTATTTATTCATTATATTCCAGATACGGTCAAATATCAATATTCTTTATATTTTACGATGTTCATGTCAGTCTGGCAGGATTTATTTGACCTTGACCTCATTTTCACGGTTCGTTGCTCAATGTTAAGTTTTTGTGTTTTGGTCTGTTTTTCTAATATTGTATGCAATAGGTCAACTATATTTGGTGTATGGAAATATTTAATGATGTACATGTCAGTCTGGGAGGTTTTATTTGACCTTGACCTCATTTTCATGGTTTATTGCTTATGTTAAGTTTTTGTGTTTTGGTCTATTTTTCTTAAACTTTAAGCAATAGGTCAACTATAATTGGTGTATGGAATGATTGTAAGGTGAATATGTCTGTCTGGCAGGTATCATCTGACCTTCACCTCATTTTCATGGTTGATTGGCCAATGTTCAGGTTTCCTGGTTAACTTTTTTTCTTAGATACCTTTAGCAATAGGTCATCTATATTTGATGCATGGAATGATTTTAAGGTGTACATGTCTGTCTAGCAGGGTTCAAATGACCTTGACTTCATTTTCATGGTTCATTGGTCAGTATAGAATTTCCATGGTTTGGTCTGTTTCTTTTATACTATAAGCAATAGGCCATCTATATTCTGTGTATGGAATGATTATTAAAGGTGTACATGTATTTCCGGCTTGGTTTATCTTATCTGACCTCATTTTCTTGGATCATAAATGTTAATGTGATACTTGTAGTAAAACTTTATATGTAGGACTATCAACATAAAATCAATGGTCAGTATAGTAGGCGAGACATTTCTGCGTGTGCACTCTTGTTAATACGTGTATACGAAAGATGAACATAGAAATACAACTATCTAGTAAATTGAACAACTCTGACAGACTTCAAATATTGTACATAAAATGCTAATCTATATATTACATGTAGTTCCTTTAATTAAAATTGTTTTCGAAATAGAATGAAGGTGTTAGACAAACAACAGATTATGATAAATATATTGACAGTTTGTATAGTTGTGCTTCTTGTGTGATCTTTTCTTCTTTGCCATAACCTAACCCAGTAGAAAAACAATGTCTCTGTGTGTTGCAATGAATGACAGTAAAAAAATTAAATGTAAAATGATAGTTATATAAATGCAATGATCTTCCAAAATATGTATAAAGCATGAAATATAAAGATATTCAATGTTGGGTTTACCCAGGTTAAATTTCTATCTGAACCAAATATATTTGATTGAAATATCTTCTGAGTTATCTCCCCCAAACCAGATAGTGATTTTCCTAAACAAAAACAGTGAATGTCTCAGAGGACAGATTGAATATTTGATTTTAAAGTTTGACTCTCTCTTGTTCGGTCCATTCACCAAATGCCTGGAGAAAAACATGTCGACCAGAAATAAACGAATAAGTTTGCAGTAATAAAGAGTGATGTTGTCTTTAAGCAGAAACACGTCATTGTCATTAACGTTTGCTTTTTATAAAGGGTCAGGTGATGTCTGTTTGTCTGGATACCATTACTGTAACGGATCAATATGGTGCTGTCCAGATGGATATGAATGTACAGGGACCGTAATATGTCCCGCTAAGTGAGTATCTCTTTGAAGATGGTTAATGTTTGTGCTTGTACCTTAATGTTTAAATCGCTTTCTATTGGTTCAATACATCTCTTGTAATGTTTAATGATACTGTATGTACATGTTCGTCTAAAGCACTCAGTATTGTGTGATTATCTCTTGTAAGCACACCTCCCCGACACTGTCCTATAGAGTGCTGCATTATGTATATTTCTACTGCTGTTTTCTAATGCGAGCTTACGTTTTTGTTCTTCTCTGTAGAGGATTGCAATATATATTTTAGTTCTATAATTGGTGCATACAATTTTGTATTGTCCTTCCGATGCTCGTCTATTAATGTCCGAGCTGTCATTAAGTTTTCAAAAGATGCTGTATATATATCTCTTACTGGGCGGTCCTATTCAGTAGGAGCTGAATATATATCTCTTACTGGGGTAACACTAACGACAAAAAGTGTTAATATCTCTTTTGTTTTACAATATTTTTTCTTGAAATTAAGAAATCTGCGAGATTAATAAATATATTATAAAACAATATAAATTTGATATTAAAAACACATGTTTTTCTACAAAAAAGTTGACCTGACGGATTTTACCTGCGAAAATTACGCTACGAATAATATTGACCTGGTCGACAGAAATTGTTAATATCTCTTTTGTATTACAATATTTTTTCATGAAATTAAGAAATTTGTGAGATTAATAAATATATTATATGAAAATATAACTTTTATAGTAAAAAAAAATGTTTTATACAAAAAAGTTGGCCTGACGGATTTTACCGTCGAAAATTACGCTACGAATAATATTGACCTGGTCGACAGAAATTGTTAATATCTCTTTTGTTTTACAATATTTTTTCATGAAATTAAGAAATTTGTGAGATTAATAAATATATTAAATAACAATATAAACTTTAAATTAAAAAAAAACATGTTATTCTACAACAACATCGGTTATGGTGCTGTATTTGTATTTGTTTTATGTGAGTTGTTTATGTGCTTTGTATTGATGCTCTGAGTTAAGCCAATTGCTACTGATTTTTACAGTTTGTTCTTATGTTGTGCTATCACACCACTGTGCCAGGTTTAGGAAGGCTTGAGCGCTCACACACATGTTTAACCTCTTCACATTCTTTATGTGTCTGTCCAAGTCAGGGGCCTGTAGTTCAGTAGTTGTCGTTGTTTCATGTCTGTCATATTTGTTTATGATAAATTGTTTTGTTATAAGTTAGGCCATTGGTTTTCTCGGTTGAATTGTTTCACATTTTTCATGTCTGGACCTTTTATTGCCGACTATACGGTAAAGGTTCTTTTCTCATTGTTAAAGGCCGTACGGATGCCTATAATTACTAACACCCACCTCATTTGAACTCTAATTGATTGTTGTCTCATTCAAAATCTTTCCACATCTCCTTATTTTATATATGTCTCTTATTGGAACTGTCCTATTCAGTAAAGGCTGTACATTTCTGTTCCTGGAACAGATATATACAGTAGGTGCTATTTTTATCTCTTACCAGAACGGTCAGACCAGAGGGGGCTGTTTAGATCTCTTACTGGAATGATTGTATTCAGTAAATGCTGTTTATTTCTCTTACTGGAGAGGTCCTGTTTAGTATAGGCGGTATATATATATATATCTCGCTTACAGGAACGGTGATATTAATTAGATGGAATTGAGAATTAAACGGAAAATGTGTCAAAGAGACAACAACCCGATCAAAGAGCAGAAAGCAGGCCAAGGCCACCAATAGGTCAGAGATAAAATCCCGCACTCATGCTTTTCTCAGCGTATTTAAATTAAATCTATTGGATGTGTTCTGATTTATTTTAGTCTGGGAAACATGATTTATTTTTTAATTGTAATTAGCTCTTACCTAGCTTTCAGTAACTGCGAGTACTTTAAGATCGGTATTTTGTGAACTAGTATTTTGTCTTTTGAGGTCTTTCTACTTTTCCGTGAAAAGACCTCTTGATTTTGTTCTGATTATAATTATTATATTTTTTCTCTCCCGCCACTTTTATTTCTTGCGAGGCGTTCTTGTTTCGCAAGATGTCGCTTAGATATTTGGTATATGATATGGAACAGTTTATACGCTTTTGAAACTGACACTCTTTAACCGAACACTTTTCATTATCTCCCCAATCACTGTTTTACTTGTTATCTCTATTTCGTAACCATATAAGAAACCAACAATTTTTTTTCCAAATTGCTCGTTATATCCTCAGAATTTTCTGGTCAAATTTTGACCGAAGCGATCTGGAGACTCCATATGAGAGTTAGTTCCCCTTATGTATTTAATATAACTGGTATGTATTAATCATAATTGATAGAGACCTAGGGTCTTTTCATTTAAGGTCATTGGTCCATCAAAAATCAAATGAGGTCAAGTTCAAAGGTAAAGGTCATGTTTTAGATTTTTAGTTTTGGCTTATTATCACTTCTCCTCAGAAATCTTATAAGATATCGACAAAACATTTTTACTGATGTGTTAGTTGCGACATGTCGTAACATATATATTTTGGTTAAAAGAGTGCCTTAACATTTAATGGGAGTTTCTCCCCTCTAATGTTTAAAATTAGCTGTATTGGGATATAACTCATTAACCATATATAGTAGAGACTGAGGGTCTTTTGGTTTGAGGTCCTTGTTTTATGACCTTGAAATTGAGATCAAAGTCAAAAGTAAATTTGACGTTCTGGATTTTGACCTTTGCTATAAATTCATATTCATAAATGATAAAGCCATGGTATCTTTCGCATTAGGTTGTTCATTTAATAAAATTTCATGTGTCTGAAAACTCGTCATGGATACAGGTCTAATACAGAAAAGCAGGACTAATAGAGAAATTGTATTACTCTAATGCATGAATTTTACCTCCGATTATTGGCTTAAAAAGGTGTAAAAAAGTTGTTGTTATTTTTTATTTGTTATCAAACTGTTTTTCTTTGCGTATATACAATTATGGACCATAAAGAGGATAAATATCCAGAATTGTAAACCGTAAAAGATTATTTCTCTGAGGGCGCAATCCTTAGGGAAATAAGTTGCCGACCTCTTTTTATTTTCATATAAGTCGGAGTTCCTTCAGACACTTGTCAAAAACATAAAGATCAAAGAAGCAAGATCATTTAATTTCACATTCAGATATATTGATGATGTTCTTTCCATTAACAATCCAAACTTTTTTGATTGGGTTTCATTAACATATCCTCCATAAATAAAAATTAGAGAAACAACAGACATGGCTTCCTCCGCCTCATGTTTAGACTTATACCTCGAATTTGACATTAGCGGTCATCTCAGTACCAGAATCTATGACAAACGAGACGATTTTTTGAAATTATCAATTTCCCCCACCTTGGCAGCAAAATACCAACTTCACTTGCATATGGAATATACATTTCCCAACTCATTCGGTATTGAAGAGCTTGCAGTTGCTACTCAGTCTTTTTAAAAGGTCACCAGTGTCTGAGCAGAAAATTGATGAACCAGGGTTATGTCAAAGAACGTCTCGTCCTTTTTCTTAAAAAGTTCACCGGAAGATACCAAGACTTTGTTGATAAATATTCCGTATCAACTTCCCAAATAATACATGATCGTCTTGAAGTATAGATTCTAGATACTGACGTTGTTTATCATCTTAATTACGTGTTATAGTGTTCTTTTATTTGTCTTTGTATATTATTAACCTTTACAGTTTAGTCCATCTTTGGTAATATCCTTTTGGCGTGGCTCGGTATTTATACATCCCACCATTGTGTTATTAAGCTATGGTGATTTTTGTCTTTCATTTTTGTGTATATGCTTTGTTTATATGCCATTTGTTTTTCTTTGTTGGCATTGTTGTTTGTTTTTATAGTGATTAAGATTATAACACCATGTTGACTGCTGTACCCTTATTTATAAAATTATTACCTATTATGTCTGTTTCTTTTGTTCAGACATTGTTGTCAATATAATGGAATTTTATGCGACTGTCATACAAGTGAGAGGTTTAGCTAGCTATAAAACCAGGTTTTAATCACCACTTTCTTCATGAATAAATGCCTGTATCAAGATAGGAGTATGACAGTTCTGTTCCATTCGTTTGATGTTTTTGAGCTATTAATTTTGCTATTTGATAAGGGACTTTCTGTTTTTAATTTTTCTTGGAGTTCGGTATTTTTCATATTTTACTTTTTGAGGGGTCACAACGGTTTTTATATTAATTAACACGGCTTTATTTATTACAGAGAAAACGAAGGCCTTCTATGGGGACTACTCAGCCCTATTTTAGTACTTGTTATTGCCTTTTGTTGTGTGGTTTGCTACAGAGGTAAGTTTTGTTCTGTATTTGCAACACTTTTGCAGCGTGGTATACACAAGTCGCTAGTAATTACAATAATACATGGTATAGACATTGTTAACAAAATATCTGGATAAAATCACGTTCTTTCTTCAATGAAACACCATTAAAAAATAGTTATTTGCACAAATATTTCATTCACTTAAGTAAAACAAAAAATACATTTTATGCAAAATGAATCGACCGAGAAAAAAGAGGATATATTTGAATCACCTGTTGAAAAGATAGAGTTCAGAGGGAAGGAAATCATTTTTGGAATTGATTATTTACTGACTTCTCAAAGAGTGTTATTAAAGAGAGGCGAAATATACAAAAGGGACATTCAAACTCATAAGTCGAAAATAAACGCGATAGCTAAAAAAGAAAACTAAAGACTGAGCAAAACGAACCCCACGAAAACTGGGGGTGATCTCATATGCTCCGGAAAGGCACCCGTCGTGTTGCTCATGTAAGTACAAACCCGGTGATAAGTCCTATTCGGTAGGTCACAATCGTGGAAAAGGAGACGGTATTATAGTTACGACAATTGGAACATATCCGTTGTTATCTGTGAAACAGATATTACATGAGGTCAACAAACTTGTGAGGTGCCAACTTCTATTCTTTCTTCCTAATAAGTTCCTGTATGAAGCCAGCCTCATATGAATAAAAGAACAAGTCGGCAAGAAGAGGGACACAGTTGCTTCCTATGGGAATGCCGAATGTTTGTTGAAATACACATTCTCCAAACGTAACAAATATGTTATTAATCAAGTTTCAGAGAATGTTTTGTTTCAATCAGAGTGATTTTTTACAAAGTACGATTTATCCTTTCCTAAGACAAGATACTTGTATCTACGTTGGCCATTCTTTCTTATTAAACAAAGCAGGACAAACTCTTTCAATTTGTCTTCTAGCTTGGAATGTGGAATACTTTTGTAAAATGTAGAAAAATCAAATGTGTTGCAAGATGAAAGATCTTCGGAAATTTTTTAGTATCTACATCTGAATCACGCTAACTGAAGAATAGGTAGTTTTACAATAACTTTGAAGCCCTGCTTTGATTGTTGATAAAATTGATGTTAATAATTTAGAAATAGATTTCGAGTTGCACTTGAAAGACCAAGCAATATAAAGGGTTATCTAATATACACACATACATAAAGTCTGGGCTCCCTCACAAATATGACCGGATTTGAGGTTTCCATATGGACGTGATCGACCGATCTTACTTTCATTTTTAAAAGATAAGACACAGCCAAGAAAATGTCCCTTTCTGTCTTCTTTTTTTTGTGTGTAAAAAATGGAACAACATGAGACGCACAAAGGGACACTCTCAGTGCGACTTAATATCGGGTTATGTAAGAAATATAAAAATCTGAAAAAAAAATCAAAACAGCAGCTGTATATCGACAAAATACAAACATTTTCAAATCAAGAGATGGGAGGGTGGTTTTTTCCCACATTATATAAAAATAATTACACAAAGCCGAAAAAAATTCTTATTGATTCTTTTGCAATGCTTTATCCCTTCTGAACGCTAACGCAGACATTACACTGACGTCACAAACGTTATTGGTTCATTAGCCCACATGACCCGTTTCCAAAAATTGAAGTTTGATATTCTGAAAATCGCAGACCTATTTATTTAAAGACTGCACCAATAAAGGTAACTCGAATACCAACTGCGACTGCAACTTCTAAAAGTTGAAACAATCTATCCCATATTAGGATAGATTGAACTATGATAGGAATATTGCTACTGCTTTTTTGTTTAAAAAAGTATTAACCATGTTAAGAAGTTTAAGCTCATTCAATATTCGACCAATAATTGAATGACTATTGTTTTCATCATGAGCTTTCAAAATACAAATGCAATGGTGAATTAAAGGACCTTAATATGACTGAACATTAATTTTGTGAAAGATTGAATACTCTTCCTTGACACATGAAATCACATCCGGTTTTAAGTATTGGTCGTTTTACATTTCGGTGTATTCTTTTACGGACTGATTTTGTATGAGTTTTTTTGCGCTGGTCATGTCGTAATTGTGTTTTGCCAACTCATGGTATGAGATTGTCTCTTTGGTTTTCTTTTTCGTTTTTCAACCATGTAAATAATTTTTATTGGTATAAATATTGTTTTTGTTTTCAGTAGATTAAAATCAAACTATTATGTATTATTGTTATATACATGTGTACATTCAAAGTTCTACAATCTATCGATACCTGTATCTTGGCATTGCACAAAGTCATGTTTTTCTCTCTGACTGTTAATGACGTCCTTACACTAAATCCACTGGATGTTAGATGAACACAGTGTAAAGATTTATATTTCAGTCTTAGATACATGATTTTGTTTTATTAGTTGTTATTTGTTTTGAACTAGCTGTCACTTACAGCGAGTACTCTCAGATCTGTACTTAGTGTCTTTTTTGTTGTGGGATGTATAAATACCTTGCCACGTCCGGTCTGTGTTTTCGTTAGATGTTTCCTGCTTTGTATCAATCTGATGAGTTAAGCCTTTTTCAATTGATTTTTGTCTCGCCTTGACGGAGTCAAAAAGCGAGACATAGGTATGCTTTTTCCGGCGTCGGCGTCCGCGGCGGCGGCGGCGGCGGCGTCAACAATGTATAAGTTTGTGATTAGGTCTAGTTCATGGTGAACTACTAGTGGTAGGTCAATGATATTTCGTATGCAGTTGTATTAGCATTGGCACATCTCATTAACATGGAGATTATTTGGCCCCGCCCCCTCAGTCAAGGTCTATTGACTTTGAAACTTTGCTTAGTTTACATGTATTAGTTTGTGATTAGGTCAGTTTATTGGGAACCACTAGTGGTAGGCCAATTATATTTGGTATGCAGTTGTATAAGCATTGGCATATCTCATTTCCATGGAGATTATTTGGCCACGCCCCCTCATTCATGGTTAATTGACTTTGAAACTTTTGCTTAGTTTACATGTATTAGTTTGTGATTAGGTCAGTTTATTGGGAACCACTAGTGGTAGGCCAATTATATTTGGTATGCAGTTGTATAAGCATTGGCATATCTCATTTCCATGGAGATTATTTGGCCACGCCCCCTCATTCATGGTTAATTGACTTTGAAACTTTTGCTTAGTTTTCATGTATTAGTTTGTGATTAGGTCAGTTTGAGGGGAACAGTTAGTGGTAGGTCAATGATAATTGGTATGCAGTTGTATAAGCTATAGCACATCTCATTTCCATGGAGAATATTTGGTCCTTACCCCTCAGTCATGGTCTATTGACTTTGAAACTTTTGCTTAGTTTACATGTATTAGTTTGTGATTAGGTCAGTTAAAGATGAACCACTAATGTTAAGTCAATGATATTCGGTATGCAAATGTATTGGCATTTGCAAGTGTCATTTCCATGGAGATTATATAACCCCACCCCCTAATTATGGTTCATTGACTTTGAAACTTTTACATAGTTTACAAGTTAATGTTTGTGTTTAGGTTTGTTTAAAGGGAACGACTTATGAAAAGTCAATGGTATTTGGTTTGCAGTTGTATTAGCAGTGGCACATCTCATTTCCATGGAGATTGTTTTGCCATGTACCTTCAGTCATGGTTCATTGACTTTGAATATTTGCATAAAGGCGAGACATATCTCTGTGTTAACAGTTTATTACAGTTTGTTCTTATGTTGTACTGTTACACCACTGTCCCACGTTAGAGGGAGGGTTTGGCGCCAGCAAACTAGTTTAACCTGGCACAATCTGTATGTGCCTGTCCTAAAATTTTCGTTTATTGTTTTGTACATAAATCAGGCCATAAGTTATCTCGATGGAATATGACCAGTCTTTTTATGGAAGTTCTGAGACTTTGGTATTTTTTACACTTACCTACCACAATGAGACCCCGTGAATGCAACTCCTCTGAGGCCCTTTGACAGAAAGCTATCATACTTGGTAGGATTGTTTGCCATGATTTTTTAATCGACGATATTGTACATTCAATATGAGATCACATTTTTATGGGAAAATTGGAATTCGACCATTTTTCCGACTATTGAATCACAATGAGACCATTTTCTAAATATTGAATGATAGGAACAAATAAAAAAGCTCGAAATACCCTTATATTGTAATCTATATTTCTGTTGTATAAATCTATACTGTACACACAATTTTATTCCTCGTTCACAAACTTGCAGTGTACATTTTGTTACGTCGTACCAGCATTGTCTTAAATATCTTTGATGGAAACATTATATATCCAATCTACCATAGCATTTTAATGCAAAACCATAGGCAAGTAAATATTGGCTCAAAGTTGTCCAAAAATATGTGATCTTTTAGCAAAAGTTTGATTTATGCAGTTTTGGTTTTCAGCAATTTCAATAGTACTACGTATCGTGAGAGTAGGCCTTCTTTTATAAAATGTTGTTGATCTTGATTGATTGAATTATTGGTGTGACAATTACTAAGTAATCTCTCGTTTATATCATGTTTATACTACTAATGTGTAATTCATTTAGGAAGTCTAATAACATCTAGAGTTATGCTTCAATGTTTAGACTAAATTTATGAAAATAACACTTTATTAATTTCGTGCACATCTGAAAGGCTTTTCTAGATGTATATTCATCAGCAACTTGGTCAGGATGCGCAATTCATTTCAGTTAGGCAGCAATAGTAGCATTTTCTTCCATTTCTCTGTCCATATCATAAACTTGGATATGTATGATGGCTCGATGAAGCTGAGAAATTTTCACAGATATGGTTAAATTTTAGGGGTACGAAGTGATATAAATGTTTTTACAAAATGGGCAACCCCGAAAGTACCCACTTGATGCCGCTTCAGCAAGTGACATTTTCCTATTTTGACACAGTTAAATTCTCTAGACATTCAGTTCTTTGGAAACATTTAATAACTCAAAAGATTTTACATCTTTATTGTACAGTCTTCTGCTCTTCAAAGAACACAAATGGTTAAGCTTAGTCAAATACTCAAAATAGCAT